CAATGGGGGCACTGTTGGAAGACCTGAAGGACCAGGCTAGGGGGAGATTGTCATGGATAAAATCTATGTGGCCACTAAGAACTGACAACAACTTGAGGGCACGTACTATCCTAGATCCTTGGGAAGGATCCAATTGTCAAAAGTGCCAGATGCAGTCAGAATTATCTGATGGATTGTGTGTAAATAACAATCATCATCATCATCATCATCATCATCATCCAATGACAATGCATGGAAGGGTGAAAAGTATAGCGGACTTGTTGAAGGCCATTCTGATGTTCCAGACACTGGGATGGGGGAGCTGAATCAAATCCTGGTTTTCTGGGAATTGGGGCAAAGTGGTACATTGAACTGGGAAGGGGAAAGTAGGAAAATAAAAGCTTCTGTGCTAACCTAGCCCTCCGCAAGCCATCATGACAGAGTAAGGCAAAAGCTCAGCCTTTGGACATAATTTGGAAAAAGCGTTTCGGGCCTGGTATGAATTTAGCCCATTCCTGTTATTCATTAAAACAACCTCTTCACACCAGGCTGCTTTAATCAATGGCCAAGGTGGGTTGAGCTCATGCATACAGTAGTCCAAATTGTTTTCACAGCATGCGCAGACTGGTCTCTTGGCAAACGGCACAGATAACCGATTCTCTTACGGCTCTGAGCAGAAAGGAAGGTTTTCATAATGGGGTTTCAGCCTCCAACCCATCCCCTCAATTTGCTCCAATCTTTTGCACTCGTACCTCATATTCCTGAGACAGCTTCAGATTATCATTGGCTTTCAGATGCTCCGTGTGATCTGCCAGTTCTGAAATGGGGATTGGTGGATGGTTCAGCATACCTGGGGGGGGGTAAAGAAAAAGGACATGTGGGGAGTGGGAGGGAGAAATTCTCCTTCAATTGAAGCCATTAGTTAGGAATAAAATGACATATGTTTCACTATTCAAATAAAAAAAAAACTGCAATGAAAGAACGGTTAGAAAAGGTGGGATAGAGTGGAAAGGAAAATCGAGGGCTCGAAATTGTGTCCTTTGGAACTCAAAAAGAAAATTCCCCGTTATGGCCCCATTCTCAACATATGTCAGAAAAAATGTGCATTCTGTTTAGAAAGAAGAAAAGGGGGCAACTAAAGGAACCAAGTAACAAAGAGATTCTGACAACAGCCCCTTGGTAGCCATTTCAAACGGTGGGGTTTCAGGTCAGGTCAAGGAAGAGAAAAGTGAGCAGAGTCCCAAAATAAAATGGAGCAACAACATATTGGAGTGCCAGGATGTAAAGGTGCCGAGAATAAAAGGTGTCAGCCATAAAAATCATCCTCATCAAATCTCACACCCCATGCATGTCCGCATCAAAGAGAGGGAGGGGTGCAGCTGAGTTGCCCAGAGGAATGAGAACATGGCATGTGTGTGGGTGTGCAGAAGACCTGCGCAGGCTTTTCGAAAGTTGCCACAACCTATGATGAGAGATTGGGCAGGTCTGCCTTCACGCTGAGAAGGTGAGTTGGCGGAACAGGAAAGAGATCAGATTTAAGTGGTACAATCTAGTATGACGCTT